TGAGTCCTCTTCCAACCTTCTTGTCACATTCTTCTTCACAGACTCCACCTTAACAAATAATTAACATAACACATGTTGTTAAGTGCCATCAAGTTGCCTGTGACTCAGTGATCTTATGAACAACGGATCTGAACTCTGCCCTATCCTGTACCATCCTCATCATCTCTGATAGAGTTGAGCCCAGTGTTACAGTCACTGTGTCAATATGTCTTGTTGAGAGTTTCCTCTCTTTAACTGCCCTCCCACCATTTTAATCATGATATCCTTTTCTAATGACTAAGCCCTCCTGACAACATGCCCAGAGTACATGAACTGAAACTTCACTAGCTTTGCCTCTGAGGAGCACCCTGGTTACACTTTAGCCAAGACTATTTATTTGTTCTTTTGGCAGCCCAGGGGAAAGTCACTACTCTTCTCTTACAATACAAAGTCACCAATTCTTCTTTTGTCATCCTTATTCATGTTCAACTTTCAGATGCATAAGTAACAATTGAAAAGACTATAGCATGGATCAGGCACACCTTAGTCTTTCAACTGACATCGTTGCTCTGTAGCACTTTGGAGAGGTCCTTGATAGCAGATTTTTTCTAATAGGTAACCATGGAGAAAATAGTGAGATTGCCAGGGATTTAACTTTATTTGGATTTACAGCCAATATCCCTGGTAATAGCAGTTAAGAGATCAAAAGATGTATAGCATTGGGGAAAATCTATTGTTAATGACTTAGGATATAAGTTTAAAGATCAGAGTGTATCTGATTGAAGCCACGGTATTTTAAATTGTTTCATATGGACATGAAAGCTGAACGATGAATAAGGAAGACTAAAGAATCAATGTTTTTAAACTGTAGTGCTGGCAGAGTATTAAATATACCATGAATTGTCAAAAGAACAAACAGGTCTGTTCTGGGAAAAGTACAGCTAGAGTAGTCCTTAGAAGGAAAGATTGTGAAACTTCATCGCACATGCTTTGGGCATATTGTCAGGAGCACTGCGCTATCATGCTTGGAAAGGGGGAGGGTCCGTGAAAGCGAGGAAGAGCCTCAACAAGACAGAATGGCACAGTGAACACCTGGCTGAGGCCCAGCGAAGACGATGCGACGATGCTTTGTTATGTTGTACACACGGTTGCTATGAGTCCGGGCCATCACGACAGCACTTAACGACAAAAACAAAGTCAAAACAAGTGAGCTGAGATGGAAGAACCTGATAACCATGGAGAAAGCAGAGCTCAGAGTGAAGCACATCCTCTGGATATGGGGTCCCATACAGAAAACGGATGCAGGCAGGGGGAGACCAAGACACACGTGGATCTCCAGAAACACCTGCCAGCTCTGGTGGCCTAGAGGCAAGAAGCTGCGCTGCAATCTCAAAGGTACTTGGTTCGAGGCCAAGTAGGAATCCACTCAGAGCTGACCCTCCCATGGGTTTTCAGAGGCAGTTAATCGCATGGGAAGTGACTGCCCATCCTTCTCCCACAGAACTTCTCAGCGTTTGGCTTAACTGTGGAATTCCCTATGCACAAGGCCACCAGAGCTTCCTTAAAGCCATCCACAGCGGTATTTTTATTATAATTGCATTAAGTAACTATGACAAAACAGGGGAAATATCACAGCAAGTGAAAGAAATGACTTTTTTAAAATTTTATTTTATATTTTTAATAACAAAGAGAAAACAAAGACATTAGCTCTATCTGAAAAGCCAGACATTAGTCAAGCATCAAATGAAAAATTTTAGCAAAGACAAGATGAAATTCTAGGTTTCTTTTACTCACTGATAAAATCATACATCATCAATGCACAATTAAGATTATAATATGCTAAAATGGAATCCTTATCATAGTTGATAGGATCAATTTTATTTAACTAAGAGCTCTTTTTACAGCTTTCAAACATTAGTAACAGGGAAGAAAGGACCGTAGGTGGGTTAATACTTAGCACTGAACTTATCTTGTGGGTGCTGCTAGAGGGCATCTTTAAACAGACTACAGCTGAGGATGCTGGGAGTAGGGGAAAACATTCCTCTCAATTTTCCAGATTTGCATTGATCTGTTAGTGGCTAATTCATTTTAAAGTTGGATAACTGCTGAGATTAGAAACTAATAGATTAGTAGGATTGATCAATGAAATACAGAATAGTCAAGTGACTATTATAGCCACAAAATTTAAGTTGGAAAATACACTGTGATTCGATACATTATGAAGTTGAAATCAATTAGGAGAGAAAAAAATGAACAAAAGAGAATTCCAAATACTGATCTGCCACTTTACAGTACTTTTTCATTCTCAGGTTGGCAATACAGAAATTGAAATAGCTGAGCACTGGACAGGCTTAGGAAAGATGTCCAACTAGATGAGTATGATCCTGGTGAAGGTATATAACCTAAAATTTGGTTTCCTCATCTTAAAAATGGGGTAACAGTATCCACTTCATATGGCTGTTGGGATGACTGACTGAGATAATGTCTGAAAAGTGCTTAGCACAGTGCCTGGTACACAGCGTTAAAACAATGGTCTCTATCGTTAACTGAAGAATAAAGATGAAACCACCTACAAAATAGGATAGTTTTGAGAATTAGATCAGAAACAAGGAAAAGTATCTGGCAGACTTTGCTGCTGACAGAAATGACTTTGTTTAAGGAGTCTGGTGGCTTAGGGGCAAGGGGTTGCACTGTCATCCCACATGGTTTAAACTTAGCAGCTGCTCCTGTGCAATTTACAACTTCCAAAAACCTGCCGGAGGATCCGCTCTGAGGGGATTCCTACGTGATGACAGTAAAACTTGGGCTTTTTTTTTTTAAAAAAAAGCAAGTAAAATGAAAGCAGCCATCCAAAGTGCATCCGGTGCTTGATTTTTCAGGTCTTCTGAGAAGCGAAAACTTGTCACCTTGGGGACAAACAGCAGGAAAGTGTTTATTCCCCACTTTTCATTTTCTGTCACTCATGGTGACATCAATTCCTGAATTTCCAAATCATTCAGACCTGTTCTGTGGTTGACCCCCTTCACTCTGGCATCGGAAAATGAGTATACACCACAGGCCTGTGCTGTGATCCCTACAGGTCAAACTTGGAAAAAGTTAAAAAATGACAGAAACTTGCAACAAGATAAAGGTAAAGAATTCAACAGAAAAATGGGCACAGGATATGAATAGACACTTCACCAAAGAAGACATTCAGATGGCCAACAAGCACATGAAGAAATGTTTAAAATCCCTAGCTCTAAGAGAGATGCCAGTACAACTATGAGATATCATCTCACCCCAGTCAGAACAGCAAAATTTAACAGAACAGCAAACAACAAATGCTGGCGAGGTTGTGGAGAAAGTGGAACCCTTAGTCACTGTTGGTGGGAGTGTAAAATGGTGCAACTACTGTGGAAGGCAGTATGGTGCTTTCTCAAAAAGTTGCAAATAGAGATACCATTTGACCCAGCAATTCCACCACTAGGAATATACTCCAAAGAGACCATAACTGACATCCAAGCAGATATATACACACCCATGTTTATCGCAGCTTTGTTCACAATAGCAAGGAGTTGGAAACAACCCAGGTGCCCATCAACAAATGAATGGTTAGAGAAGCTGTGGTATATTCACACAATGGAATACTACACTACATTGAAAAACAAGGAACTCATGAAATATTATTCAAAATGGGTGACCCTGGAGGACATTATGCTGAGTGAAATATCTCAGTCACAAAAGGACAAATACTGCATGGTGCCACTGTTGTAGAATGGGACAGACACCAGGGTTGGGGTAAGATTGAGAAAAACTGGATAAATTATGTATACTGCATTGAAACAGATGAGGGAGAGAACAGTTTAAAAGCGATATATGATAGAGTATTATGGTTATCACAAGAATCCAGAATGAAGGTTGCATAGTGGAATGTACTTGGGGTGGGGGTGGAGGGGGACGGGGAAGGGGGGATTGTATACCAATGAAAGAATTTTTCTTTTACTTTTCAAAGAGAGGAGTGAACTGGGGGGGGGGGAGGACTGGGCAGGGAGAAAAGTGCAACAATGAATGAATGGAGTGGCTTCCCTGATTGTCCAATACTTGATAATTTTAAAATCAATCAGAATAGAATTTACTACACTCCTTGGAACTCCCTCAGTCCTGGGAGAGCCAGCTTAAATAGTGGGATGAAAGCCTTGTTACCGTTCTGAAGCGGCCACTCAGCATAGCGCCCCCCCCCCCGTTTTCTCCTGTATAGCGTTCATCTCCTTCTAACATATTCGTTCCATTCCTAAAAATTTGCGAAACGAGTTGTTGCACTAGTTTATTTACAAAGTTCGTACACATTGTTTTCCACACCAGATCTTTCCCATTTTCTTCACATCCCCTCTCCACCCATCAAATTGTGCAACCCTACGATTAACCACCCTCCACCTCCCGCCCATCCTCACCCCTCTGTTCCCCCATCCCCACTCCTTGGATCCTCATACACGTTCTACAATAATGGTTTTATACAGTATTTGTCCTTATGGAACTGAGCTAGTTCACTCAGCATAATGCTGTCCAGTCCCTCCCAAGTAATATTCATTGTTGTCCAATTACTTCCCCCCCCCCCCCATCGCCCAGTCCTCTTTGCAATGTACCTGTTATTCTGGGCAGTTGGCGTACATCATATAATGCCTAATCATTTATGCCTTTTGGACAGTTCTTTCCTTTGCCTGTTCCTCCAGGTTTCAGAATCCATCCGACAGAATTAGCCCCGCCGCGCCCGCCCTGCGGCGCCGCGTTCGCGTTTCCTGCGCCGTGCGCCTCTGTGGAGACTTTTGGCCCCTAGCGGCCGCGGTCGCGTCCCTGGTTACCGCGCGCGTCGTAACCGCAGCCGCCAGGTGGGCCGCCGCCGCTCCGTCGTCCCCGCCCCGGGGCCAGCGCGGGCGCTGAGGCCTCGGCCGCTCGGACCCGTCGCATCGGCCGCCAGGTTGGCGGCTTCCCGCCACTACACCCCGTTGGTCCCCCAGAACGAACACAAGCATCTCATCGAGGCCATGGCGGCGGCGGAGGCGGCGGCAGCGGCGGCGGGGGCGTTGAGGGAGGCGGCGGAGGAAGAGCAGCTGAAGGCTGAGCTGGCGGCGCGGGCGGCGGTAACTAACACGGGCCGGGGTCGGGGGGTCGGGGGTCAAGGGGAGCGGGGGGCCTGGGGGAGCAGGGGGCCTGGGGGAGCAGGGGGCCCGGAGAGGGGGCAGGGACCTGCAGGAAGCTCATTCTCCGCCTGGTGATCCTGACCTTCTCGCTGCCTCCCCACATCTCGTTTGCACCACAGAGTGTTGGGGACAATTGTGGAGAGAGCTTTTGCATTATTTACAACTAGTGCAAAGTTCAGAATTTTGCTCCTTAACGCCGGAGAATCCCTTGGGAACGGATATTTGCAGTAAAACAGACCCACCCAAGCAATTGATCCGCACTACTAGCTCACCCATCACAAGTCAGTGACTCAGCCATGCTCTCAGCTGTGTTTGGTGGAACTGCAGCCACAATCCATTAGGGAGCGCTGATGGCTTAGTGGGAAGGTGTTGCGCTGCAAACGCAAAGGTATGCGGTTTGAATCCCCCTTCTACTCTGGAGAAAAAATGGGCAGTCTTTTCCCGTGCAGTTTTGCGACACATTTTGCGACACATAGTGACCCTGTGTATTCCAGTCCTAAACCCTGCTCTACTGTGACAATCTTACTGTCTCTAACACATCTACCCCACATTACCCCTGACGCTGAATCAACCCATCCCATCAAGGGGCTTCCTCTCCTGAACTGTCCCTCCATCCTCCCAAGCATGATGACCCTCTCCAAGGACTGGTCCCTTCTTGCAACATGTCCAGAGTATGTCAGACGAAGCTTCAGAATCCTTGTCTCCAAGGAGCAGAAACCTGTTTGTTCTCCTAGTCCATGGTATGTTCACTACACTTCTCCAGCACCACAGCTCAAAAGCCTCAATTCTCCTTCTGTCATCCCTAGTCAATGTCCAGCTCTCAGTAGCAAGTGATTGCAAAGACTGTATCAGACACACCTTAGTCTCCGACAGCAAAATCAGCAATGGGTCGATTCTAACAAGAAGCATAATACATTAAGGCTGGTGTTTAAAGCCGTCGAGAATGTAATGAATAGCTACAGATAAGAGAGACAAGTAAGTTTCTGAGGTCCTCGTGTTTTCCTCAGTGACTTTCAGGGTGTGGTGAGAATGCCTTTTACTCATTAGTGTTTGGTGTCAAATGTGTCCTGGACACCTGTCCACCAGGTGCAGAGCAGAGGCTGCCATCTGCTCTGTTCACCTGGAAGAGAAAACCTTGAATTTAAACAAGCATTCTGCAGATACAAAACTCCTTCCACAGGTTAAAGGTTGTTTGTTGGGTTTTTAAAAATATTTATTTTAGTTTGCTTACCAAGTTCATATACAGTGTGTTTCACACTATTCTTCATTCACATAGTGTTTCATACAATCATTGTATGTATTATATTTTATGAAATTAATCACCATTGGACCTTGCCCATCATTACTCTGTCTTTTCAGGTCCCTGCGGGATCCTTTCATTCTCTCTTCACCCACCAAACTCTGGCAGCCCTGTGGTTTTGTCCCTACCTGTCTTCACCCTTCTGCTCCCACCCCTTGGGTCCCCATATGTGTTTTACTAGTTAGTTATCCTATTTTTATAATAATGATCTTATGCAGTAATTTGTTAAGGAGGTGTTTTTAGTGCCATCTGTCAAAAACTGCTAGACACAAACCCCTTTGGTCTATGGCTAATAGATAGTGGGGTGCCTAACAGCACCACTTAGACTTCTGATCTGATTAGTATTCCCTATGGTTGTGAGCTCTGATGGCCTAGTGGGTAAGGAGTTGAACTGCCAGTCCAAAGGTGTGAATCCACCAGTAATGGAGAAAGATTGACATCTCCTGTCACTTACAGCCTCTGATTGATTACCCTCAGGAGAGTGAGCTTTCAGTGGGTGCCCACTCAGAAGCAAGGGTTTTTAGTTTGTGGTTATTAATAAGAAGGGGAAAAATTAGGGGGCTCAGTGGTAAGGAGTTACACTGTCAACCCAAAGAAAGGCAGATGGTTTGAACCCACCATCTGCTCTGAGGGAGAAAGACGGGCGGTCTCTTCTTTGCGATTTACTGCCTCAGAGAGCACACTCAAGTCACCTGGTTTTCGGAGGCAGTAAATTGCACAGGAGACGGCCCATCGCAGAGCAGCTGGTGGCTTCGGACTGTGTACCTTTGCATTAACAGCACAATTACTTTCCACTAAGCCACCAGTGTTCCCTTGCCTCTTGTTAGGTTTTTACGCCTCGGTTTTCTTCACTGTAACAGAACTGCAGTGATAGTCTGTCTGTGTCTTTCCTGTCTCATTGAGAAGCGGTTGAGAGACTGTACCTCCTGTCTAAACATCGGCTTGTATCAGCTGGTGCTTGTAATAGCATCTGCCAGTAGAGCTGTTACTTCAGTGATTCCCCCCCAGGTTAAGTTCAGTTTGGGCTTTCTGTGATGTTGTTTGTTGTTGTTGTTATGTGCCGTCGAGTCACTTGCGACTCATAGCGACCCTATGTACAACAGCCCTAAACTGGGGAGCTCTGGTGGCCTAGTGGCAAGGACCTGCAACTACAATCCCAGAGGTGCACGGTTCGAATCCACCAGATGCTTTGCTGGGGAAGGAGGGACAATTTCCTCCTGTACCAGTCAGATCTGATTTGACGGTACACTCACACAAAAATAATAAAAATAAAAATAAAAAA